GGTGCACACTAAGTGTGAGCTGAGGATGACTTTGGTGCACACTAAGTGTGAGCTGGGGATGACTCTGGTGCACACTAAGTGTGAGCTGAGGATGATCTAGGTGTGCCCCTCCTTCAGTTCGTGAAATGGACGTGGTTTGCAGTCGCACACACCTGTCGGCCCAGAGGGGGTGCAAGTGGGATGATGGAGTAAGAGGCTAGCCTGGGCTACAAGAGACCTGGGGCTGAAGGTTTAACCCCAATTAGAATATAAATAAAATACATTTACAATAAACTCAAAGGCATTAAGCCAGGATCTGTGGCCCAAGCCTCTGATCCCAGCACTCAGGCAGAGGCAGGAGGATCGCTATGAGTTTGAGGCCAGCCCGGTCTGAAAACAAAAACAACAAAATAAAAGATATTGAGTTCATAGAAATACGGAATTAAGCTGGGAGACTCTGGCCCGGATTTAACTCAATCGCTTCTGCCAGGCAGCCCCTGGCTCCCTCACCCAGACAGGAAGGTCAGGACCCAGCAGACCCAACCGAATCCCCAAGAAGTGGGAAGAGCCAAGCACGTGATGAAATGACAGCGACCAGTGTCGAGGTGACACCTGGGGAAGGTCGCCACTCTCCAGCTGAAAACGCACGTGGGCGTGGCTGCCTCTGGTCAGCGGCCTCCAGGGGAAGCCAGTCCAGTCAGTGAGGGACTGAGTCTTTCTGTGCTTGCATGGAATTTCCGCTGGGTTGAACAATTCTATTTACATCACAACAAAAAAGATGAGATTTAAAGAGAAAGGGGAAGGAAAGATAAATAAGGAGAGAAGAAGAGGAAAGGATGGAAAAAAGGAGAAATGAAAAAGGATAAAAAAAATCTGAAGAAAGGAAAATAAGATGAGAAGAGAAATGAAAACCAAGTCAGGCCCAGAGAGGTTGTACCACAAGCCAGGAACCCAGAGCACAGCCTGACTTCCTCTGGAGTCCCCAGCCCAGCCCTCTGCTAAGTCAGGCACAGGTTTGAGGTCCAGACTCGGGGTAAAAGGGACCAAATGTCAGGGTTTGTCCTCCTGTGTAGGTTGGCAAGCGGTCTTCACCAGCCATCTCGGTGCTGAGGAGCTGGGGGTGGAAGCCATGCAGGGGACATTCCAGGAACCCAGGAGGACAGAGGTCACAGCTGGAGAGGTTGCTCAATGCCCAGGGGAGGCCTCACCGCCGGGTCAGCCGGGGCTCCCATGCAAGCCCAGACCCGTGTGTGTGTGTGTGTGTGTGTGTGTGTGTGTGTGTGTGTGTGTGTGTCTGTCTGTCTGTCTGTCTGTGTCTGTCTGTGTCAGTGTGTCTGTCTGCATGTGTCTGTCTGTCTGTGTGTGTCAGTGTGTGTGTGTATCTGTCTGTGTCAGTGTGTCTGTCTGCATGTGTCTGTCTGTCTGTGTGTGTGTCAGTGTGTGTGTGTCTGTCTGTGTCAGTGTGTCTGTCTGCATCTGTCTGTCTGTCTGTCTGTGTCAGTGTGTGTGTGTATCTGTCTGTTTGTGTCTGTGCATGTGTGTGTATGTCTGTCTGTGTCAGTGTGTCTGTCTGTGTCAGTGTGTGTGTGTCTGTGTGTCTGTCTGTCTGTGTCAGTGTGTCTGTGTATCTGTCTGTCTGTGTCAGTGTGTGTGTCTGTCTGTCTGTCTGTGTCTGTCTGTGTCAGTGTGTGTGTGTGTCTGTCTGTCTGTCTGTCTGTGTCTGTCTGTCTGTCTGTCTGTGTCTGTGCATGTGTGTGTCTGTCTGTCTGTCTGTGTCTGTCTGTCTGTCTGTGTCTGTCTGTGTCCACTGCACCGCTGTCTCCTTTCTCTCCTCTAACTCCTCCATAGCCTCGAGGGTCCAGTGTGAAGGAGACAGTGACCCAAATAGATGAAAAAGTCCCGCCCTCCCCTTCCCTAGCCAATCAGCCACAGGAAATTTTCACAGAAAACAGGAAAGGAGGGAGGGAGGGAGGGAGGGAGCAGCAGGCGGCGAACAGGTCAGGGCTTCTAGAAAATGTCTGCAAGGGAGGGGCAGTCACCCTATGGAGCCTGGTCCTCCACTTCTACTGTTCCAAAATTCACCCCAAGAAATCTGATTTTATTAGGCTAAGTTACAGAGCAATGGGTGACGGGGTGATGAACGGTCTGCAGTGTGTGGGGAACCTGTCCAGCATAGATGATGACCCTGCCCGCTCCCCTCCTAAAGTCAAGTCAACAGCCCACAAGCTGGGTGTCGGCCTCAGAGGACCGTCCAAGACCACCCGAGAAGGGCCAGCTCTAAGTACCCCCAGTGAGGGGCTGGGGGCGTGGTCAGGGTGGAGCCCCGCCTAGAATCCCCAATGAGGGCTGGGGGCGTGGTCAGGGTGGAGCCCCGCCTAGAATCCCCCAGTGAGGGCTGGGGGCGTGGCTCAGGGGTGGAGCCCCTGCCTAGAATCCCCAGTGAGGGGCTGGGGGCGTGGTCAGGGTGGAGCCCCGCCTAGAATCCCCAGTGAGGGCTGGGGGCGTGGTCAGGGGTGGAGCCCCTTCCTAGAATCCTCCAGTGAGGGGCTGGGGGCGTGGTCAGGGTGGAGCCCCTGCCTAGAATCCTCCAGTGAGGGGCTGGGGGCGTGGACAGGGTGGAGCCCCACCTAGAATCCCCAGTGAGGGGCTGGGGGCGTGGTCAGGGTGGAGCCCCGCCTAGAATTCCCAGTGAGGGGCTGGGGGCGTGGCCCAGGGGTCAGGATTTGGGTTTGGTTTCCAGAACACACACACACACACACACACACACACACACACACACACACAGCAGGGTTGAGCAAGACCTCAGGTGTGAGGATTTAGAAGAGCTTGCACAATCTGCCCGACACTGGAAAGGGCATGGTCACCAACTGTTTACCAAGACAAGGACAATGATGTGAAGCAAACAAGAATCAAGGCACAAAGGGATTACAGGTGCCTGGGAAGGGGCATTTGGGAGTCCCCAGGGGAGCCCTGTCTCCAGTGGGTACTATGGGGTCAAGGGAACAAGACTGTGAACCTCAGTGTCACAGGCAGGAAATGGCAGGGACAATAGCTGGGTCCCAGGAGGATGTGGAGGAAGGAAGAGATATCCCGGGGCGGAGGGTAGGGGTAATCAGAGCTAGGCACTAGAGACTGAGAGGGAGATGGAAACTGGGGGACAGTAGTCCTTAAGAAGGCTTAACTGGCCAGGCGGTGGTGGCGCTCACCTTTAATCCCAGCACTCGGGAGGCAGAGGCAGGTGGATCTCTGTCAGTTTGAGGCCAGCCTGGTGTACAGAGTCCCAGGACAGCCAGGGCTACACAGAGAAACCCTCTCTCAAACAAACACACACACACACACACAGAAGGCGGCTTAACTGAGTGTAAACTGGTGTAAATTCCATGATGTTTGTTCTTGGTTGTCAACTTGACGACATGTGGAATTAACTAAAACCCAAGGGACTGGGCACGGCTGTGAGGACGGAATAAATCATTTGAAGCGGGAAGACCCACTGCTGATCCAGGTCTTCTGAGGTGGGAAGAGCCACCTGCAGTCTGGGCCACGCCCTCTGCTGGCAGCCTAGGTAAAGGGCTCTGCCTCCTCGCTCTCGCTTTCATGAGCAAGTCCGTTCCTTCACCGCCATCAGAGCCTACTCTCCAGGACAAACCCCCGGCCGCCCAGAGCTCACTGCGGGAGACAGAGGAGCATGGAGAGCCATTCTGGCCTCAGCCAGTAGGTGAGAGCCATAGTCCTGAAAGCCACCCTCTGTACCCGCTGAATGAGGCCACAGAGTGGGCGGGTGGACAGGTGTGGTCAGCAATCACCTCAGCTTGCAGGGTGGTCCCCGACAGTGGGTGATACAAGCCAGAAATATACACAAAGTAGGATTTCAGCTGATTATGACAAAGCCAATACCTGGAAGAGGCCAAGGGCCTTCCAGAGGTCAAGCTGAGGCACAGCTAGACCCCCAGTTCAAGCCTCCCTGTAATTATCGCCATTGGCAGCATCCATCCAGGTCCATCCCCAGACGGAGGGAAGTACCTTATCAGAGATATCTCTGTACTCTCTAAGAACAGACTTAAGCATCCCAGGCCAAATGAAACACTTGTCTCCTAGGTCAGGCGGATAGCTTTATTTCTTGTGCAATTTAGGGTGAGACCCTCCTTTCTCACAGCCTTACTAATAGACCCCTAACTTCTTACCTAACCACTTCTAGGAATGCAGACTGAGCACACAGATCCCCTTCTTGATAGACTAACCGGTCATTAGCTCTCTGTTGATCTCCTCCTTCACCACTCCCATTTTGGGTTGTAAAAGCAAGCCTGGTGGTCACTGCCTGAGGAAAATTCTTACCTGCCTTTATGACCCCTAAGAATTCAAGCCTGGTGACTTTGCTCGGCCAGAGGATGCTATTGCTTGGGTTTATAATGGAACACCTCAGAGACCTGAGAGGCTTTAGAGGTCTAAGGAGACAGCAAGGAAGAGAGGAGACGGGAAACTGAGAGGGATATGGAGGATTTCGACCAGAGAGAACGTGTGGGCAAGATGGAAGATGAGGAAAAGTCAGATGGGGAAGTACTAGCTGGGTAAGAACGAGATGAAAAGGACCTAGATGAGGCAGAATTAAGACCAGAGAATTAAGATAGAACCTAGAGGGGACAGCAGATAAAGGCAGGGAGAAACCAGGTGAGAAAGGAGCGAGGCTTGAGTACAGAGCTGTAGCTGTGTAGATAAGATTTTATCCCAGAGGAATAACGTAGACGGACAAAGAGCTCGTTGTGCTGAGATTCTTTTTCCCGAAAATAGTCCTCGCCGTTCATAGTTTCTCTCCTGAGCCCCTGGGAAGGATATTATTAAGGCTGGCCCTTTAATAATATACAAGAGGTGGGACGCAGGGCAGGAAAGCAGGGACCCAGGGACACTAGCAACTTAGAAGCAAGTTTTCTTTCCAAATTATTATTCGTAACTCAAAAACATCAGAACTAAGAAATTCCTCCCCAGTAACCATGAAAACAAAAAAAGGAGGTGCGCCTCACCCTCCCCGGTCATAAGTCAGGGAGGGAGGTACAATCCAGGCTCCACTCAGTGGCGTCTGCATCCTCGGAGCTGCCACGATGCCTCCAGAGCCACCGTGGTCCCCAGTGACTTCAAACAGGTGCAACCGCATCTGTGTCAAAACAGGCTGTAGCCTAAAGAGAGGAGAGACCCAGTTAACTGATAGCTGCCACCCGATCCGCCCACCGCAGGGCCATGACCCCCGCCCTGAGCTGGCTCCTCTCTTGGCCCAAGTATAACCCACATACACAATGTCTCCCTCTCCCCCAGATGTCCGCGGTCTCACAACCTCCCCTGGACCCAGTTCCTCACCTACTAAGTATTGGATCCTCAAAAGAGCAGAATCAGCATCACTGTGAACATCAGTAGGCTGGAGAGCACCACGGAGCTGGCAGAGTTCTTCTGCGATGTTCTAGAAGCTTCCTCAGCGGTCCTGGGTGGAGAGGGGATGACTCAGGCAGAGGTCACCTGACTCCTGATGACCTGCCTCCTTTTAAAATGTTTCTGTGCAGGTTTGAAATTGGGGGATTCTAGGCAGGGCTCTACCCTAAGCAACGCCCCCAGCCCCCATTGGGGGATTCTAGGCTGGGATTCTCCCAGCCCTATTCTTAGTATTTTAAAGTCACAATTTCTTTCCTTAGACTTTATTTTTATTCTTTTAAAACTTTATTATATTTTATTTAGTGTGTGCACAGGTGCATGTGTGATGTGTATGCATGAGGACTCACATACCATGGCACATGTGTGGAGTCAGAGGCATGTGTGGGTTCTGAGATCAAACACAGGTTGACAGGTTTGTGCTGCAAGTGATTCATCCACCGAATCCCCTCACCTGCCCTGATTTTATTAATTGTGTGTGTGCGTGTGTGTGTGTGCGTGTGCACGTGTGCGTGTGTGTGTGTGTGTGTGTGTGTGTGTGTGTGTGTGTGTGTGAATTCAGTGCCCTCAGAGTCCAGAGGTGTGGAGCTCATGGAGCTGGAGTTATGGGTGGTTGTGACCAGTGTCCTGCCTGCCGGGTTGCTGGGACCAGCACCAGGTTCTCTGCAAGAGCAGCCAGTGTCTTAGCATTGAGACTTTGCCGGAGACCTCGCTAGTTGCTCACTCAGGTCGACCTGGACTCAGGCTCCTCTTTCCTCCTCTCCCATGGGATCTCAGACCCCTGTCACCAAGCTGAGGCTCCTAGGCTGCCCCACCCCCCACATTCCCGAGGAAGGGAGCTGGGATTGGTCACCTATGGCAGTGGTCTAGGGATGGTTTCCCTCTGAGGCTTTTTGTTTTGTTTGCCCAGACACAGTTTCTCTGTGTAGCCCTGGCTGTCCGGGAACTCACTCTGTAGACCAGGCTGTGCTCGAACTCACAGAGATTCACCTGCCTCTGCCTCCCTCCCAAGTGCTGGGATTAAAGGTGTGAGCCACGTGCCTGGCTCCACCTGATTTTTATTAATTGTTATTATTACTATTTTGGCAGTGAACTTTGGGACGGGAAGGCTACAGTTTTGCCTGCATACCCTCTTCCTCTTCCAGGAGAGACAGGGTCTCTCCCTGAACATGAAGCTTACTGCCTGGGCGCATCCGGCTGGCCAGTGAGCCCCATGATATTTCTGCCTGTTTCCCGGTACCGGAGCTACGAACATAATAACTACAGCCGGTTTTTAAGTGGGTACTGGGGATTCGAACTCAGGTCCTTAAACTAGCGCTGCAAGCTCTCCTCACTAAGCCTTCTTCACAGCTCAGACCTGAGCTATAGATTGTGTGAGCCAAGTGGGTTCCCGGTCTTGAGGAAGGAAGTGGAG